GCAGACGACGGACAACCGATTTCACCGGTGTGTGCGTTCTCGCAATTCTGTCGACTGGTTTTTAATCGGTCCGCTCGCGTTTTCTCCGCTTTTTCCGCGGGGTCTCCCTCCGAGGATCCCCGGTTCACCAGTCGATCGGTTTCCTCGAGCCTGCACTGCCCAGCCGCGCATCCTTACGCGGACCGCGCCCGCACCCCGATCGAAACACTTCGGTTGCTTCCTTTTCCTTCCGACATCTTCCCTGTTCTTGTCAGGAGCGAGCGGAGTGCGCTAAGTTTGCTCGTTTCGGACGACGGAGCTAAGATTGCTGATGTGCTAGCTTGCGCGCGAGGTTTTCCTGGGGTTTTGTGTCGTTTTTCCTCGCGAACTGTGCAGCTTTTCATTGAGCCCGCGGGCATGCTTTTCGAAAACGTTTCGCACGTGTGTTTCCTCTGTTTCGCGGAGTAGGTGTGATTCTCTTCGTTTTCTGCGGATTTTTGTTCCTCGCTTGGGAATTTGAAACTGGATGGAAAGTGTGCTTCGAGTGCGTTCGTGTAAGTAATTTTGTTACTAGGAAATGTGCATATTTGAGGGTCAACGGATTTCGTTTTGGATTTTTCGCGTGTGGAATCGTTTGCTAGTGGCTGTGATTCTACTTTGGAAGTGTATAGTAATTCTTGATGAGGTCATTGAAAAACCAAAAATGGCGACGACGTCGCAATTCGTTGTAGAGATTTTTACGAAATTGTGCTCGTCCTATGAGGAACATTGTGTCATTTTCAGTCATTTTCGGGGAGGAATGAAATTATCGCTTGTAGCAGTGTTCCTTGAAAATAGCAATTTCTTTAAATATGGCAATCGTCTGAACTGAGAAAATCGATTTTCTTGCTTTTGTATTTTCGAACTTGGAGGATATTTCAAGAGTTTCCCTGTTTTGACTGTTTTAGATTCACTTGTTTCATATTTCAAAACAGGTTTATATCTCAGGGATATAATTTCGAGATATCACGAGCGAATTCGGAGGATCGACAGTGTCAGACGAAAATTCTCCCATATGTCCTGAAACGATCGTCCTATACTTCAAACTTGGCAGACATGTTCAATAGGTGTCCCTCTGTCGTTTAACGCAGAACTAAGTTGACGTTGCCAATTGATTTTTGTTAGTTAAAAAGAAAATCGTTTTTCATCACAAATTACTTGTTCATTTGCAACTAACAATGCACGTACCGATCAAAAATATTCTGACATTTTTCATTTTCGCAAACTAGTTTCTATGATAAATATAAAATACTACAAAACTAGTTTGCGAAAATGAAAAATTTCAGAACATTTTTTATCAGTATGTGCATTGTTAGCTGCAATTGTTTCTATGATAAATATAAAATACTACAGAACAAGTTTCTTTTTTATGTTAGCATCATCGTAACTTGATAGACAACGATCGTCTCTGCGCGAAGTACGATTCAGAGTGTCCTTTGAGAATTAGTAAACGATAAGAAACTATCCGAACATCAGATTCGATGATTCATTGAGTAATTTTATCATATTTTCCGTTAAAAACATCGTGGAACCCGTCGTCGGTTCCATTTCTGTCGCAGCTTCATCCAAATAATCTCGTTACAGAGATTTGTGTTTACTTTTGAAGAATTACGTGACTCGAGAAGCTTTATTCGCTTATTATGACTGAGAGAAGCCATTTCGTTTAAAGTCGTAAGTTCTAACATACAATTAACTTAATGAAACAAGGTCTTATGCGCTTCGGACAACTGCACATTGAAAAATCATATTTCTTATTAATCCTTTGCACTCGAGAGATGACTGATAATTGAAGAATCTTGTCTACATCTAATTGAAAAGTGTTGAATATTTCAAGTGAAAAACTTTCGAGTGTAACGGATTAATCCTATAAAAAAGCAAATGTTCGCGAAATACTCGAATCATCAAAATTATCATCATTCTCCGTACTTTCTAAATCAAGTTAATTCCTCGAAGATAAAATTCTCTATATTTTACTTCAAATTTCGAAATCGAATGTATCTTCAAAAATCTCTTATTGTGCGCGCAATAAAATCAAATAACTAAGTGTTCACTCGTCAAATACAGGCGAAATGCACTTAAAATATATCCTAACGAAAAAACTAAAATGAAACGAAGAAGAATCACCTGTTTGTCGAAAAAAAATAAATAATCTATCGTTGAACACGTAGCACCATTTCTAGTTTCAAGATGACATGACGTGTATACTCATCAAACGCAGTCAACACGTTCCGTGTCGGATCGTTTTTGTAAGACGAGTTTTTTCTTACAATTAAATAAAATCAAATAAACGCAGTATACATGATATTAAGATGCCTATATTTGACTCTACAATAAATTTTTAAAAAGTCCTTCCTTTTTCAATGAGAATTAATTTTCAATGAATTGAAAATAATTGCTCTACTATCTTTCTTATATCTCATACATCGAGTAAAACTTAGTTTGTTCGATCAGTCACCAAGAAAATGATTTTTTCAGTTTAATCGTTATTCTTCGATTGAATTTTGGGCATTTCCTATAGTTAATTTTATATTCGTTACTGGAAACGTGTTAATTGGTTAAGGGAAAATAAAAATGTCAATTGACGTGAAAGTTGGTTCTTCCTCGAGGCTGGAAATTCATTCATTAACGATTCAAAATGTCCCTGAACTACGGTGCGCAACAATGGCGCGCGTGAGGAAGGTCAGTGCGAACGTGGACAGTGACGTAGCGTGCGGAAGACGGAGCTTCGACTCTCGCGTTGCTATTGACGCGTTTGAATCGTTAATAGCATGAAAACGAAGCTGCGACTGCTATTTCGTAATTCTTATTTTAGCTTGTAGTACCACCCCTTAAAATATCGGTTACGTATTGTTGAACACCCTGTATATAGAAATGAAAAAGGTTCAGGTTACGTGATTAGATAAGATAAATTGTTACGTGAATTTATTATGAAAAAATCGTACTAAAAATGAAATGTTTGCAAATTAAATATTACAGTATGTAACGTAGCAGAATATAATATGGTAATGTAATTTTTCAAATAAACTTTGATAATTATCAAGATAGGTAGAAAGACTTGAAAAAGAAAATATTCGTCACACTACGTCGGACATATCTATTAACCCCTTGGTGTATTATTTGCTTTCTCTACTAAGCTCGTGTAATATTTTATTATCGACAGTTTGATAGAAATATAACAAAATTGTCCTTCTACTTAAAGTCGAAATTTCATTTGAGTGTTGTTAAGCCTTCGCGCTCGACAATAGTTTTCATTAGAAATATTCATTACTTTCTGACTAAATATTAACGATATCTCTCGCAATTAACACACTTAATTATCGTATATAAATTCAGGGATAGAACTATTTTATTTCGATGTTTTATCTGTTGATACGTTACAGAAGGATTACTATTAAATTGAGTTGAATTTTTGTCAAATTTGTCAAATGTTGATTATTGTTAAATTAATCTAGAAATCTTCATCACGAGTCTCATTCGTCATTGTATGGCAAGAAATTAAATGGTTCTATATACTCTTATTATCGTTATTATTGTTGTTGCTGTTGTTGCTGCTGTCGATTGTTCTTCATAATTATTTTTATTATTAAAATTATTGAATCTTACACCACAATAAAAAAACGTAGATCAAGGATTACAAAAATCAGTTACTTTATGTAGACTTCAATAAGTATTCTTTCCTATCCGATAATAGAAAAGATGTAATAATAAGAAAGAGTAGAGAATAATGAAAAAATGTGAAAAATCAATTTATAATAACATTATGACGATTATATAATGATAAGTGATCTCCGATTAAATGCATTAAATATTCAATTTCAACTGAAAATAAAATCTAATTAACATACTTCTCTTTACGCTTTGCAGAACCTCTTCAGCATGCGCTGATTCCTGAAGCAGATAATGTAGCGGACAGTGAGGATTCGGAAGACGAGTGGAACTACTACCGCGTTGATCCGAACAAAGAGAAGGACACCGCGACGCCCGACGACGAACAACCACAAGAAGCGAAGAACGAGGAGGAAATTGAAACCCAGGAGGTTCCTGTTGAAAGCAACGATTTGAAAATCCAGTCCCAAGACCTAGGCGAGGAGATTAAATGCGAAATTCCGAAGGAAGAATCGCCTGAGCTTATTGACACAGAGGTACATTGTTGTCCTTTTCTCTTTATTCTCATATATATTTGTCATATTATTTAACCCAGAAAATTATTCTTTGTAAGATGTTAACAAATGTATCGTGTTGCAGGTCTGAAACAGTATGGAACATAGAAATATTGAGGTCTGTCCGGAAAGTATCCAACCTTATCATATGAAAAGGAAAACAATGAATATACAACAGTTGCCTTAATCTTGTTCAAAGTACTCTTATTAACGCTTTACCTACCTTGAAATTACTTGATAATTGTTAATAAAAATTAGTAGTTAATGGTTAGGGATATATGAATTTTCTAGTGACCACAACAACTGGAATTTCTGAATTAACGTTTTGTAAAACATAGACTAGTCATTTCTGTTGAAATTGTTATTTATGAAAAGGTTCTTGAAGTTTTAAGATAGATGATTTTGAATTAGAATTGTGGAATACATTCATGGGCTTCCGGTAGGTAAAGTGTTATGATCTCACAGTTACACAACTTTGCTTCTATTTTTTTTAAACGAAACTGCAATATCTTATTTTGAGATCGCTGTCGGATGTCCTGTCTCGTTTCTCGTAGTCGCCTGTGGTTTATAACCTTTTACTCATAGTGGTTTTCCCGTTTTGGGAAAACATAGAAATGATTAGGGATTATCTAAACTATAAAGAGACTAATAGATCTAATGGAGCTAGGTAGTGTTTGTTTTACCGAAAAAGTCTGCAGGAATATAGTAAAATGTGTTAGCACTTTTCATTGCAAATTTAGTAGTAATATATGTGATACTTATTATGGTTAGATACTTTTCGGGCAGACATTTTACAGGAATAAATATCATATCATAAATAAAGTATTATCTCTACAAATGTTTAATTGAATGTGCTGAATTTCTGTAGGAAAGAATTTCTTTGAATATTTTTTGCCAAGGGTGTGTAGTACCTACCTGAAAACAAAATTAATTTTGATTTAATGAATAAAGTAAAAATGTTGCTTAAAGCTGTCATAAAAGAATGCGTGATAATATCTACAGAAAATTATTTAACTTATCTATCTCCGAGAAATATGTTAATCAGTTCCAATTTTAATGCGTAGTTTTTGTTATTCGAGTTAATAATTATATTAATATATCATGAAATGAATATGAATATTTATATATATATATATATATATATATATAAATGGTTTTGACCGACTATAACCAAGTTAGTGCGTTACTTTCATATTCCACGTTTTTACAAACAGCACACACGTCGTTTTTAAACAAAAATTGCCCCGATAATTAAAATCCTTCTTCGATACTTGTAACAAACTGAATTCAGTGAACTCTATTACAAAGGAATATAAAATCGATAGTGATATTGTAAGTTCAAATTATTTTAATCATTTTTATATGAACTTACTAACCTTTGTTAACCTCTTACATCTTAAAAGGGCTTTGAAGTATATCACATTCCTTTAATTAATACTTATGAAATATAATTAGATTTAAACAATTTTTAATTTAATCAAATCATCATATTCATTTGAATAATCTTGAAAAAGGCATATAGCATAAAAGCGAAAGTAAAAAGTAATAATAAAATAATTCAGGGTGTAAATGGTTAAAAAGGTTTTTTTATAGAGATTGGAAATCAACAAGGAATATATCATTATTAGACATACATATAATATCTGTGCAATTCCCGTAATATTTATATGAAATTGATAACAGATATTTAAAGAATGCTATTTGAAATCAGTATTGAATTTTCGTGTTCTATATTTCCCAAAGAAAACGAACATTGACTCTCAATATTTTACTTCTACAAAACCAACTTCTTCTATACTTCTATTTCTGTTACTATTCATAAATACATTTTCTGCATTCAATTCCTGAAGTATCGTTCTTTCTTGAGATAATACACAAATGTTCCAACACAATCCAAGAATATTCACAAAAAATCAATTTCTGTCCACAGATTAGCGCAGAGCATAAAGAAGAGGATCACCAAGAGGAGAAACCTTTCGTGGAAGAAAAGGAAAAGTCGAAAGACATGGATTTTCAGCTGAACCCTGACGCAGCCGAGTTCGTCCCAGTCTCGCCTCAGTTTGCAGGGGCCCGGTTAAATCTTATGGACTACCCTATCTCTGGCTCGCCCTTGAAGCAAGTCCCCCAAATGGATGACATCCAAGTGCCCAGCCAAAGCGAGTTCGAGGAAGAAGTATGCCAGCGACCTAGGGAAGTCGAGTCCGAGGACAAAGAATATCAAAATGGTATACACCTGCAGTGCAACGACGTCACTGACTTTATGGCCGAACGGCAGAAGAACATCGGCTTCTCAGGGAACCTAGACGACTCGGAGATCTCATCAACGAAAGCGGAGTTCGGCGACGAGTCGTCGGCCAGCTTCCTAACAACCACCGAGTTCCACAGAACCGGGATATCAGCGGTGGACGAATCGTTTTCAAGTTCAGAGCGCGACTACGACATAGCCAAAGACCCCATGGCCATGTCCTTCACTCCCAGCGACTTCGAGGCAGCGTTCGACAAGGGCGTCGACCTGAACGCAGTGCACAATCTTAGCAACACTGACCTGGACGACAAGAACGGTAGCATAGAAGAGGAGGACGAGGAGCAAGGTCTCGCAGTACAGTCGCCAGAATTGCACCCTGAACTCACGACCCTGGTTTCGCCAGAAGCCGAGCAACCGTCGCACACGCCAGCCTTCCCCGGAGAGCCCGCGGACCTCGTGAACTTGTCTTCGCAGCAAGAAGAGAGCGAAGCCACTTTCATCGAGCACCCGGATAAGCCAAAGTCACCGTTCCAGTTCTTGAACATGCAGTCGGAGTCTTCTCAGATGGAGCAACAAGCAGCCACAAGACCCGAACATTCTCCTCTGACAGAGAATTATTCTGCAGAGTTCGAGTCGGACAAGGAAGCCGTGTCCGTCGACAACGAGCAGCCTCTATCGCCTTCTAGCGCCGACATCGACGAAACCAAACCCATCGATGAAACCAGCGAGGATGCTTTGCTCCCAGGAAGCGAATTCCAGAAAGAAACCAGCAGCATTAAAGAGACAGGCACACCTTCCTCGTTGTCACCTGAACCTGACATTATGGCTAGTGACGTCGTAGCACCAACAGAGAGTGCTGAACCACTTTTCGAACCTCTTCAATCCACGCTAAAACCTGACGCTACGGAATTCACACCTGGACAATACGCCGTGCAAACAAATGTAGAATCTAGCGATGTTTCTCAACCCATGGAATCTAGAGATCTTTGCCAGTCACCTGTCGCAAAATCGGATGCCTGTTCAGCTTCTCCCGTGGAAGAAGTTGATGTTCGACCATCTTCTCCCATGGAAAAAGTTGATATCCGTTCATTTTCTCCTGAGAAAATACTAGACACCTCTGAACAGCCAGCAATAGAGACACACGACGTTTGCGAGTCTTCTCCCCCAAAAATTAATGACATTTGTGAACCGTCTCTGGTAGAAGAAAATGCTATTTGTGAATTGTCTTCGTTCAAAGATGATGTCTGCGAGTCGTCTCCGTTTAAAGATGATGTCTGTAAGTCGCCTGCGTTCAAAGATGATGTCTGTGAGTCGTCTGCATTCAAAGATGATGTCTGTAAGTCGCCTGCGTTCAAAGATGATGTCTGTGAGTCGTCTGCATTCAAAGATGATGTCTGTAAGTCG